ATAGAAAACATGTCTTTTGAATCAACACTTTTAAGAAGAGTTGTATATCTTCAACTAAAATGAAAGGACTCGATGAACGGGTGCCTTAATGCCTATAAATACCTATTGTGGCATAATATTTCACACACAATTTTAGAAATTTGTTTCTACATTCCTTACTCTCTTTTCTCTCCATCACATTCATACAATTTCTTTCTAGTTATTTCTAAGGGAATACAATTTGGTTTTGCTAATCGAATATTCTATACTTTGTTGTATCCTGGAAGTGATTTGCCAATAACCCTTTAGCAAACTCATTCAAGTGGAGACAAATAACACTTTAAGGAAACAATTCAAGTCGTACCTCAAAGTCATCATTCAGATTATTCTCTACATTTCTACATTTACTCTAACACCACAATATACTACTAATTGATTAATGTACAATGAATTCTCAGCTTTCTTCTATAAAATTATATATTCGAATATCAACATTCTGTGGTCAAGAGCAAACAAATTTCCATGGCCTTTAGCTCATGTGGGATAAAACAAAACGACAACTTCCTTCCATGTTGCCAGGGCCGAGAGCAGACAAATTTTCCATTGCCAATATTCATCAATGTACGTAATTAAATACAAGATGCAGCAATCGATCAAACGTGGTTTATTCACTTTTTATTTGTATTAATCATTAATTTAATATTGATTAGAAATGGTAAACAATGGCGCACATACGAGGGCTAGCAAGAAAGCCTGCAGGCAGCTCAGCTGCTGAACAGTGTTCAACATATATATGTTCTTCTAGATCTTTTTCAGAATCTGAGAGAGTCAGATCAAAGATTATGTTATTTTTAGAAGCTTAAATATTCAGATTAAAGGTACAAATGTTTATTTTATATGCACATTATAGTTTATGTGATTAATTTCTATATTTGCCCACGTATTTATAAGGTAACCACCACGACCTCCTTATGTGTAATTATCTATACATCTGCTGAGGAATATTGAGAAGGGTTATATAAAACCAAGTTCTGTTTAATTAAGAACTACAAAGGGGGTCACCTTGTCGAATACCCCCTTTCTAGTTTCTGTTTGTGTTATGTGCGGAAGGTTTTTCGGCTCTTTTTGATGCTTGGGAGAAGTAGGGACGGATTAGAGTGGTCAAAGTGTGTAAGGGGGCTCCGGCTTAAATCATCTATTGTTTGCAGATGATAGTTTCATTTTCGCCCGGGGCACAATTCAGGAATGCCTACAGGTGAAACATTTGTTGAAAACAATGAAGATGTATCAGGACAAGCTATTAATTATGCGAAGAGTTGTGTAGCTTTTAGTGGAAACTTGACCGAGTATGATGGACAGTTGTTGGCGGATTGCTTGGGTATGATGCGGGTAATATTCCATGATCGTTATCTTGGTCTACCAGTTCTTGTGGGAAAATTGAAGAAGAATATGTTCGCATACATTAAAGATCAATTGTGGAAAATTTGAATGGTTGGAAATGAAGCCTTCTGAGTAGCGCCAGGAAAGAGATATTGATAAAAACTGTAGCCCAAGCTATACCCCTATACACCATGCAAACCTCCATGGTACCAAAAAACTTTTTGTGATGAGTTGAATCAAATGGTGGCACAATTTTGGTGGGGAAAGGAACAAGGGAAGCGACAGATACATTGAATTCGGTGGAAAATTTTATGTAAACTAAAGGGAGAGGGTGGTCTTGGCTTTAAGGATATCTATGCCTTTAATCTAGCTTTGTTGGCAAAGCAAGGGTGGCGGTTGATACATGAACAATCCTCTTTGGCATCCCAAATTTTTAAAGCCAAGTATTATCCACAAACTGATTTTCTTTCGGCATCGATGAAGACATATTCATCTTATGGTTGGAGAAGTATAGTGGAAGCCTGCAAAGTAATTAGGGCTGGAGCTCGGTGGAAAGTGGGGGATGGTGCATCTATTAAAATATGAGGGGATAGTTGGCTACCGAGGAAAAGTTTCTTCAAAGTGCTCAGTCCTATACCCGTGGGGATGGGCCGGTCAGACACGGTGTCTAAGTTGATCTCACAAGAGGAGGGCATTAGTTGGAATCTGGACATTATAAATGAGTTATTTTGGGAAGGTGAAGCTCTCTTGATTCAAAGTATTCCCTTCAGTACACGGAAACCACTGGACCGGTTGATTTGGAATGCGGAGCCGAATGGGAATTTTACAACAAATGCGGACCGGTTGATTCGTGGATGAGGTGCATGGTCAAGTAAGTAGTGGATCCTCAATTACCGTAGAAATTAATTTTCTATGAAAGGCCTTGTGGAGGGCTCAATTACCTGAGAAAGTGAAGATTTGTATTTGGAGGATTTGTTGGAATGCTTTACCAACCTGCGATAACCTGAGAAAAAAAGAAAATCACCATGGACGATGTGCACATGTTTTGTAATAGAGAAAATGAAACTTTGGTGCATTTGATGCGAAATTGTCCAAGAGCGGCGTCGGTGTGGTTGTCTTGTCCGTTGGGGCTACGGAGTCGGATGAACACAACAGAGCATATGATGGATTGGATAGCTAAACTTGCAGGTAAGTTGTCAAGAGATAGTTTCGATTTATTCCTTATTCTTCTTTGGAGTATGTGGAAAAGAAAAAAAAAAAAAAAAAAAGGAACTCTTTTTTGTGGTAAGAAAAGGCACTCGAACCGACATAACTAATTTGTCAGGCAATTAGTTGGATGAAAGAATTCTAAAATTGGCATGGGAAAAATATGAAAAACGCGCCTGTAAAGTTTCTCAAAAATGGACGAAGCTGGGAGAAGGATGGTACAAGTGTAATTTTGATGCGGCTTGGGATGAAAATAGAACTATTGGTGGCATTGGGGTGGTGATTCGGAATGATATGGGTGATTTTGTGGTACCCTTGGCAAATAGGCATGATGCTATTCTTTCCCCTCTGCTGGCCGAGACTGTGGCAACTAGGGATACGTTACTTGTGATGGCAACTCTTCAACAGGATGGTCAACATGATCACTCGCCATTTGGAAATATTCTAAATGATACTCGCTCGATGATTCAGGCATTGCCCAATGGAAAGTTGTTTTTAGTGGTAGGGAGACGAATAAAGTGACGTACATATTAGCACGAATGAGTCTGAGTTGTGATAATCCTATTCTTTGGTTTAAAGAACCTCTTGATGTAATTGTGAATCTTCTCTTTGAGGATAGTAATTCCTAATTTGTTTGGTGCTGGACACTCTTTTTCCTTTCAATCGGTTTGAAATTCCCGGCAAGGTTTTATCGAGGCCCATTGTATGCACCCTATCCCCATTGATTGTATGTATTTCTATTGTTAATGAATATTGTACATTTTCTCAAAACAAAAAACAAAAAAATTTAAGAACTAGGAATCAGCTGAGGCAAAAAGTACTATTATTCAAATTTAAAAAAAAATAAAAAATGATCTAGGGTTCTCCTTTCGGTTGAATATGTACAATATTATTAAGGAAACTTTAACGAAAAACTCCCGCTACTGTTCACTTTAATGAAAAATCATATTTTTACACTAAAAAGTCATTCCTGGTACTATTCACTTTACCCTTTATTTTATCCTTATCGTTAAAACTCAAAATTTTCATGTCATTTTCATTAGTTTTCCTTATTAAGAACCCATATTACAAGTTGTTATTAAATATATATATATATATATATATATATATAGTATAAATTAATTATAATTAGGGAATGAATGATTTTGCATTCATTCTTTTTTTCTCTTCTTGTCGATAAGTTTCTCAAACTGTATTTCGTAATAAACAAAAAAGGTTTAAAATAAAATACCAGTTCGTATAGAAAGCCCCCATTTCCAACAGTTGTTAGATGAGGGTTATTTTTGTCTGTAACTTGATACTGAAATGGTTAAGTGCTTAAAAGCAACAGATTTCTTCTGTGTTGCAGAACTAGAGAATTATGTTAAGATCGTTTAATCATTCATACGTAGCATCATAAGATGGTAATAAAGAGAATAACTAGTTCTGATTATAATTTTTAGACGGTGACAATTTATTAATCGTAAAGGGGGACAAATAAGTTCTCCAATAGAAGACACAAACATTATCCTTTTAGATTGTCACAGATCTAGCTACTTTTTTCATGTAGCTAAAGCTGAGGGAAGACAAACGTCGCTTGACATTGATCCACATATATATACTTACATGCAAGATCAGAAATATATACCAAGTTTAAATTCCCATCTCATAAATATAGTGGAAGAGAAAAAACACAAATGCCTTGCTCTTTTCATCTTCTCACAGCAAATGATAACCCTAGATTTATTCTTTTTTGTAATTGATACCCAGATTGATTCTATTTTGAATTAATTAATTACATTATTTTCTTTATTAACCATTATCGTTGACTGTCAATACTAAACAATGTCGCACGAAGCTAGAAATCCATCTGCCAACTTCCAATGAACTGTGCACTTTCACATATGTTTTGGATCTTCATCATCAGCATCTGACATCAAAGATTCTATTCTCAATATTTATGCAAATTAGAACCATTAACGTGAAGATAGTTATTAAATATAATTTTATTGTGTATCCAAGGGGTCGCATGTCTTAACGTTCAGTACATCCGAGATTTTTCATTGTGCCACGAACATGGTTCGGTACATAAATTGTAATAATATAATATGTTGAAAACTTGATTAAATAACCAACTATATTATGATACTTAGTGTATCAGCTGTATTCTCGACATATTGAACAATTTTTCCACCCTATAATGCTGAGGATCAACTGAGTCCATACATGGTCATAAAAATCTGATCAGAGGATTTTCCTCGTGATCGAAACTGGAATTTATTTAACTTAAAAACCCCCATTACAAATTTAGGGAATTAAATTAATTAATATACATTCATTATGTTCATATATATATATATATATATATATATATGTCGATAATAATTAACAACTAGAAAAAAAATGAAAAGGGCAAAAAAGAGGTAGAACAGCTTCCTGCTGCTGCTGCTGCTGTGTCATAAAAGTGGAGAGAGCTTTTGCAGGTCGAGAGCAATATCCATTCCATTATAAGCAATGGGAGCATACATCCACATATCATCTGAGCTTAAAAGCTGCAATATACAACAAGACAATTAATTAATAATCAAAGCCATATGACGAAGAAATTTTACAATTTAGTAAAAGAGTAACGTTCAAAAATAAAATCGGTTACAAAACTTTTAATAAGAACTATAACCTAAATACATCATAAACTGCATGTAAACGATGAATTAGTAGTGTTTTATTGCCTGTCTAGTATCCTCATCTAGTTCTATTTTTAATTAACAGTTTGTCACTTGTTCTGTTTGTGCATGAGTAATGTTATTCTTACCATAATTTTATACCATATTTCTTTACCATTTTAGGTGGCAAATGAGTTGGACAAGCTGCATCATTTAATTTCAATTTTTTATTAAATAAAACACTAAAATAATCTTAGGTGATAGAAGAAGACTTTTCGTATACCACAATCATCATTTAATTAACAATCTTTTTATTAATTATTGATTAACATTTTGAAATTAAATGCTAATTAATTTAGATGATGCGGCTGTCCACATCAGATGCCACCTAAGGTGGTCTACAATTGTGGTACAAAAATATGGTAAGAATAGCATTATTGGTTTGTGCATGCTTCCGTAGTTAAAACTTAGAATTGTAACAGTATTTTTTAATTATTACCTTGATTTGGAGCTGCAAAAACTTGACATAGTGAACTGCCTCTTCAAGCATTGTGCTAATGTCAACCTTTGTTCCATTAGGGACAAGATGCTGTAGGGTTCTTAGTCTCTCATTGATTCTCTCTCTTCTTTTCTGCAAGATCCAATCAAAACTTGACTCGTAAGAAACTGTATAGGCATGTTTGGTAAACATTTCGTTTTTTTACTTTTGAAGATATTGCGTATTACTTACCCTAGCATAGAGGCTCTGGGGATCAGTTGCAGACCCTCTATTGGCTCTGGTCTTCCCATTCAAGTTAAGGGTAGATGAAGCTTTGGGGTCTGAAGTTTCTCCTCCATTGATCTCCAGAGAACCATTATCACCCTCAGAGGTGCAAGAACTTGTGCTCTGCAGCCTCTCTTCTTCATCTTTGAATTTCACATCTGAATTACCCTTTTGCCCCTTCTTTGACCTTACATTATTTTTCTTACTTTTTTCTACCTGCAATGTGTGGAATTCACAGTTAGAAAACTGCTTCACAAATACTAGCCAAGAAACAAGTTTTTATCAAAAGTTTGAATTTTTAAATGATTCTTACATCTTTCGATAGACGAGGCTTCTTCTTCGGATTGCTGTCGGATGTGTCGTTGCTGGATTTTTCCGGCGCATCATGCACCCTTTTGAGCTGCAATTCCTTTTCAGGAACCGGAACAATAGCCGGCTGGCTATCACTGCCCGAATCCTCTTTGTTGCACTCACTTCCATGCATCACAATGTCGGAAAAAGTCGGGACGAAGGAGGCGAAACTCTTCCCATCACGATTCATATAAACATCCATGGATTCAGAGACATCAATATTACCCACTGGGAAATTGCAAGAATTACTAAAGTAGCAATTTTCCTGGTTCAAAATGGTAGTAAAAATGCCATGATTATGGTCACCATAGTTACAACTTTCTTGAGAAGAAAGATAGTCCACATTAGAGTTGGGACTCTCTGAAGAAGGATGGTGAAAAAAGGTTTCAGCTCCAGGAATATTGGGGTAAAAAGATTCTCGGGTTTCAAATCCCATTCCCTCATTGTGCTGGAAAGGGAATGAATTTCCCTGGGAAAGAAAATGTGGTGTGAACTCAACCTCTTCGGAAGTAAACAACCTGCTCAAGGATTCCCATTCCCCATCAGCAAAAACACCAACAGATTCCATTTCTTTTCGGGAGAAAAGGAGGATCCCAACAAAATCGATGAAACGAAAAAAGAAAGAAAGAGTAGTGGACTTCTGTATATTTTTTTTGCTCAAATGTTTGCACTGAGGACAAGCAAAGGAGTGGAAACACTTATATACTCAACCCTAGAGGGGGGCCGTCACAAGAGAATTTGACTTGCAATTGTAAAATGTAATTGTTAATTCCCAATTATTGTTGTTTGGATGGGGGGTTGGTGCTATCAGGAGTTCACTGTGGGCCCACAACCAGGCAAATTACAGCTCATGAGAAAGCCAAGTTCATGCAATGATGTGATTAAAATAAGAAGATGGTTCAATGGGATTAAACCACATAAGACCACGAGAAAAACTCAAAACTAGCGTCATTAGGAACAAAAAACCAGTCCAAAGCAATGATTTGTTTAATTATTAGGTTAAGGGTTCTCTAAACTAATATAAATCATACATGTACACTAAGGGGTGAGGGATTTGGATTAAGCTACATAATGAGTCAATCACAATAATTTGGTTTTGAACTAATCATCTGCCGGAGTTTAACTTAAGACCTCTCACTTATAAATAGAGAGTAATATCGTTAGATTGTAATACGAAGTGGCCACATCAAACAATTAGGCTATCCAGTTTAGAGTTCTCTAAACTAAATTAAGTTGTGAGAATGCTTAAGACTGAATTGAGAAAGTAATTAAGAACAGCAAGCGTAAAATAATTAAACAATCAGAACGTGGATGGTGTCTTGCTGAACATTATAATACAATAGAAACCATTGGATTGGCGGAATAAATTAAGAAAAATATGGAGGCAGAGGACGGCCGATTTTGGAGAAGGACATCGTGGGAGCTGAGTCGGACATTCTCTAAAGCATTCAAAATCCCGACAAGGGAACCGCAGAACTCGTTCTTTGTCTTCACCTCGTAAACCCTAAAAAACTCACAGTACTGTATGTATATATCTAATCTACCGCGTCAAGTTAGCCTTATACAACTAATCTGTGAAGTTAAATATCTGGTTACAACTCATTATCATCTCTTCCATATCTCTAAGTACTTCAAAAGTCAGCATGTGTTTTTGGCCTGCCATTTGATCTACTGCTTTATATTAGCTAGGTCTTATCATTGTTCAAAATTAATGGTGGCTTCAGAAATTTTTCTTTACGAGAAAAGATATAAAACCCTAGGAATGAGTGGCAAGGATCGTAGGACCATATATGAGGGTTATTAGCCACACTGCCTCCAATGTGGATTTGCCAATGATCACAACCTTCAAGATTTTGAACTTGGTTGCATTGTTTAAGAGCTTAATCAACCCTTGTTAATGTTGGTGGAAATTGGAAGCAAAATGATTTATTATGGAAGTATTCTTTTACTAAACTGTCTGACACATAAAAATTCTCTCTTCTCACAATCACAGCTTTTGTTTTCTTAATAGAATGTCTGGCAACATAAGCATTTTACTTTAGGAAACCATATATGAATCAAAACTATCGACGAAGTTAAGTCTTATCTGAATGTGTACACATGACCAAGTTTGCTACATAAACAAAAGATACGATAAAATTAGCATGATGTTGATTGGGAAATTATCAGAGAGGTAGCCAACAACATATATAATCCAGTATAACTCGATCTATAGATGCATGGTTCTTTTGTATGTAGACATAGAGTTTTACTTTCAAGATTCGATTAAGCAGACAAATGCAAAGCCTCTAGGGTTTGGGGAATGAACAGAGAGCACGTACCCACCTGTCCCTCACTAAAACTTTTGTCCAGCTGCGAGTCTTGCGCTCGAGTTCTCAAGTCTCACGCGTCAGAAAGAGACCATTTTTCTGCATATATTATTTGAAACTACATATCTGTTGTTGGGCGAAAGTTCGATAAGGTCTTCGTTATTCTTTGGAAATTTGGCACCGGCCATTGCACGACCTTCGAAGAAACAAAAATAAAAACTTTATACCCTAACACATAAGCAAAGCAATTGTTTTGGGGAATAAAATCTACACACCCATATTTTGAAAACACCCCAAAAATCTGATTTTATTCCTTAATCAGAGATCAATAAAACTCTGTCTGGCCAATGCATTCTCCTCCTCCCACGATTTCAAGGGTTGGAAGTTTACCTTCTCTATCGCATTAATCCAAGGAATGACAACTATATTATCTTGTTATGTTTCATCAACTACCAAACTAAACCTAATTCATTCATGGTTTTTGTCCTAAGCTCAAGCCACGTGACCCTTGCATGCCAATGATTTCATTTTTTTGGAGTGCATTTTAGCTCACCCTCTTAAGTAGTGGTAACGTTCATCATCCTATTTATCATCATTTGATGAGTTTAAATTTTGAGAGTTGTGTTGATCCACTGCACAAATCTCAAAATTTATACTCATCTAATAATCATAAATATGTAAGCAAAAATATTTCCCTTTTTTTGGTTTTTTCTCTTTTCATTTTATGAGAGAGAATGATAAAATTGTAAACTTGCATTAGGATTTACCTCAAAAACATGCATAACCATTAAGCATCTTGGCTTGGTCATATACTTCTATCAACATATGTTTTTAGAACGGATTAGTGATTTCTACACACCCTTATTTTCTTCCTACACATCTATTCTATATCGATTTCTCGTAGTTGGATTGAATAAATAAAAGAATGTGTTGAAGAATAAATATGACGTTTCCTTTTGGAAAATATATAGTAGGACTTCAGTTAAATGAGAGGAAATTGTCATCTATCTTCAATTAAACACATAGGGACTTTAAAATAAAAAATCTGTAGTGAGTAAGATATTTCTTGTAGTGGCTAAAAAATGGTTTCACTATAATATTTATTCTGTATATTATATATGTACACATGAAGTCCGTGATGAATATATTTGTGTTCATGATTGATACCATTTTAATGCCAACATGGGAACACCACGTTGCTGTTTGTGAGGAATTTGTGTTCATTATTTGACACCATTTTAATGGTACTTATTCACTTATTATAATTTGAGAGAACCATGCATCGTATCGCATCATGTTATTACTTAATATTTATCATATTTAATGTTACTTATTCACCTTTTATAATTTGAAAGAACAATCGTATCGCATCACTTGATGGTACTATACTATTACTTAGTATTTATCATATTTAATGTTACTTATTCACTTATTATAATGTGAGAGAACGATCGTATCGTATCACTAATATTAATGACACTTAATATTCATCATTGTTTACAACAAATTGCAATTTGATTCATTGATTCAACATCATGAACTGTCATTTGATGGTTTCTGATTTAATTAGGTCATTATTTGCATGCATAATCCTTCAATCGGTAATTGAAACTAGATTAGTCAAATTATTAAATTACAATGAAAATGGATCCTATGTCTCATATTTTTAGTTACCACTTAAATGTATTACTTATAAGTGTGCCAAATGTTGAAATGAGTAGACATGGTAGTCCAAAAGAAAAAGTTACTCGGATCAAAAGACAACCAAGTGTCCCAAACAATGAGCATCTAGTATCTACACACACCCAATCGACTTGAACATGTATGATATAACCAATTTTCTTCCAAGGTACGTACCACTAAGTGACTTAGAAAATTAACGATTACATTTTTGCATAAAAGGATCTAATTGATCTTTACAAACAGTTAGATCTTGCATAAATTAAATTCGTACTATCGAAATCTAATTAATCTTTACATAGTTAGATCTTGCATAAATTAAACTCGTACTATCGAATAATACGCATCATTGTAACCAAACCCTAATATTACTTGACTTTGAGCATCAAATTTCATTAACTCTTGGTTGGAGAAAAACATGACTTTGAGCATCAAATTTCATTAACTCTTGGTTGGAGAAAATTTAAAGTAAATAGACGTATAATGTTTAAGTAGCTTGTATTTTTAATTCCTCTAACCAGTTAATTAAGAACCACACGTCCATTGCACTTTTAGCTTGATAGAGAGTTAGAGACCTAAAACAACTAATGGAGACTTAAATTAGGAGTAAAGATGCACTAATCCTTCCAAACTAATCACAAGGATAAACTTTTTTTCATAAGGAAATAAAAAGATGCGTCAAAGCTGCACTAATCTTTTGTTTTTTGTTGCTTCACCTTCGTATATAGCACATCAATTAAGTATCAAGGTTAACAGTTAGTTTGACAAAATGCAGAGTCACGGAGATTCTGGAAATATGAAATGTCAAACTAGCTTAGTCATCGGTAAAATGATAATACTTAGATACTGACTAGCCAGTAATCATTATAATATAGAACCTTTAAGGTAGGAATGTAGTGGGGCTTACATCATATCGAATTTTAACAATCTAAATCATCTATTTTTCAAGTTGAACCTCATAGATCATCCTTCCAAAATATTAGCCAAATCAAAAATATTTGAGGCATCCAATTAAGTTGAAAGAAATTGACGAACACTATTTTCTACGAAATACTGAAATTTCATCGTGACAATTAAATAGGCAAATGGTTTCAGATTGAATTGAATTTTTGCAAAGATAATCTATTAATTGAGACTTATTTAATAAGATATTTGGATCATTGAAGTTCGATGTAGTGTGAGCCCCACAACTAATCATTTTCCTTAAGGCTCTGCATTATACTATATTCACTTTGTGATGTGGCCACATTCACCTTTTTGCATAATAGAATGGTGATTAAGAAACCTGAGACCTCAACAGCAATTAATGGAGACTAAAACCCACCACATAACTTAATACATATATAATTAAGTTTACAAATACTATAAACACTTCGAAGTCAAAGACTATTCACTTTCTTATTTTGTTTTTTTTTTTTTTTCTGGAACTTTCTCGTCATATTTAATTTGTACAATTGTGAGTTACGATAATAATCAACTCGTAATTAGTCATCAATCTTAACATACGCCTAATCATCTCCAATTTTTAATTTAACTTTAGGCCTAATTGGATAAATGATCCTTGTGGTGACAAGGTAATCGGAAGATAGCCCTCATCGTAAAAAAATTAGGATTTAAACCCTTGTGGTGTTAGTCTGTTAACAAATTTAGTCCAAAAGTAATTTTTTTCATTTAATGTCTGTTAATTAAAGTGTAAGTACGTACTTTAACTTGTGCACCTTCTTCTTCCTCGCCTCTCTAGTCTGTCTGTTACATACACTCTACGATTAGGCCTTAACTTTATACCAAAGTTGTCATGCGTTTAAAAGAAAACAAGAAAATAAAATTCATGGTATTTTGTTTTCTTTCTGAAAAGGCAATTTGGCTGCTGCAAAATGCTTTGATTGGTTTGAGGAGCCCCTAATATTATTCAAAATCTCTCTTAGATCGATGGTAATTGTAATAGTTGAGGCGTGTGTGGTATTCTTTTTCTTTCATCAAGCTTTTTTCGTTATTATTAACTCAGGAAAAGTTTTAATGAGGCCAATCTTTTTCTTTCATCGAACATTTTCTCGTCTCGGATAAAGTTTAATGTCGTCACCTCTTTTGTATATGTGAGGTTGTTGTTGTTTATATTAGTGACCATTTTTAAGTTGGGCTAACAATACTCTCAAACCTTTGAATACATTTTTTTCTCTTTTCTTTGGGAAGTTTCAAGCATTTTCTTTTGTTTCATGGAAAGCTAAAAATAATTTCATTTGGTTTCTGTAATTAAATTTTAAGAGAACAATGAAAGACCAGTTCCAACTTCTAGATGAGTAGCAAAAAGACAAAAATAAACTTCTAGGTCGGACATAATGTACGAAAAACAATATTTTTTAATAGTTACAGATGGGCACAAGGGTTGGAAAAAAATCCCAAAAATCCCAAACCAAACCGAAAAAATCCCGATCCCAAACCAAAATTCCCGAAATTTTCGGTATGTCATCCCGAACCAAACCGAAATTTTCGGTGCGGGATTCGGTATTGCATCTCCATTTTTTCGGTATTCCCATACCGAACCGAAATAAATATTATATATATATATATATTATTTTTTAATTATAAGAGAATTATTTCAACCGTTCATTGTTTTAGATTTAATCTGTGCCGTTCATTTGTTTTTAGGTCAAATCCCCCATTTCAATTTTCACTTCCGTTCCATCAAGAGATTGAAGCGCAGCCACTGTGCCACCAGCCTTCCTTCACCAGAATCACCACCCAGCTTGGCTTATAACTATTATTTTTGCTTTTGAGTTTGTTACTTTATTTATTTTAAAACCTTGGCTTGTAACTATTATTTTTGCTTTTGGGTTGGTACCTAATTTATTTTTATTGCATGCATGATGCATGTGTAGTGGGCAGATTGAAACTTTGTTATTATTGAAACTTTGTGCACAAATGGGCAGTGGGTAGATTGAAACTTAATTTATGAAACTATGTCAAATTTGTGCAGTGGGCAGTGGGCAGTGGGCAAATTAGTAGAAATAACAAATTGGCAGTTTGGGCCCAAAAACATAATATGTCAAATTTTAGCCCAAAAGCATAATATGTCAAATTTTAGTCCAAAAGCCCAAAAGCATTTCGGGATTCCCGATTTGTCCCGAAATCCCGAAATTATTTCGGGATTCCCGAAAATTGGGATTCCCGAAAATTTGGTTTGGGATTGGTATTGAATTTGGGATTCCCGAAAATTTCGGTTTGGGACTCGGGACAAGGGTTTCGGTATGGGATCCCATACCGAACCACACCTACCAAGAAAGAGAATCTTTACTAGAGAATGAAGTGGAACAAAATTAATTTATCTTAGTTTTTTTTTTTTTTTTTTTTTTTGTTGCTTTGATATTTTGTTGCGTGTATAATGATACAAACTCACCTCGTAATTGTAAACACCATGATTCCTACCCTTTTCATTTCATTGGTCTCACTTGTGATCACGTCGTTGCCTATAATGATTGTCAAGAGAGGAGCTGATGTTTACTTCAAGGAAAGCAGCATTCACTGGCGCCAATCCAGTTGGTCGAGACTGATGATTTTTCATCAAAAGCTCATTGTTGTGCTCAGCTACAAGGAGTACTAAGATCAATTGATTGTACTTTATAAAACCACGCTCTCTTATTGCTATTGCATGAGCACATTAATGGCATAAAAATATTGAATGTCTTTCCAGCATGTATGCTTCAGTAACATTCTCCCCACAAAGATTTATTTGGGAGTTGATCCTAAACATTGCAAAATTATACTGAGCGGCTAACTTAAAATCCTTGATTCGTAGGTATGTCCAGTCATAACAAGCTCTTGGGAGAATCACCACCTTCTAGTGATTATATCTATTTGTCAAGGCATTCTAGAGAGCCAGTGGGTCCTCAACCATTAGGTATTTTCAATCCTTCATGGATGTGGTGACAAATGATCATGGCTTTCGCCCAACCTTGGAAGGATGTAGTGCTTCCTTCCTTGATAGTGTCCCAAGATTGTATGCCTCAAGATGGATCTAGGCATCTACAATCCAGGTAAGGCAGTTCTTTTCAATGATGTCAAGGGCGACAAAATCAAACTTTGCAAGTTCACCATTTTCTTTTCTAAAAAAAAAAAATAAAAAAATAAAAATAAAAAAAGAGATATGCAAGAACTTGCAGTAATTTGGATTCCGGGGAGCGTAATGCTTTTTTTTTTTCTTTTTTTTTTTAACTTCTGGTTCTTACAAAATTTTCATATTTGATCTTCAAGTGAAAATGACAAGCACTCGAAACTTTGCGCTCAAGGTTTACTTAACTAAGAGATAAATTAAAAACGTTAGGTAGCTAATGAACAAGGAGGGCAATTGTATCGCATCATTCTAAAGTTAGCATTAAAATTAAATATAAATCTTGGGTTAGTAGTCAAGACGGTCCATTCAAGTTAGCAATAAAATTAACATAAATAAGTACTGCGTTAGAAGTTAGGAATTGCACCAAATAAGTACTGCGTTAGAAGTTAGGAATTGCACCAAATAAGAAGTAAAAGATATAAGTGGTTATTAACGTGAGGAATAGGAGAATGCATGGTAGTAACAGATCTTCATTGTAGTGGTGAGGGATCACAAAGCAAGTGATGAAGAGAAGAAGAGAAACAGTAAAATCCTTATGGGAATCATTTTGATGTGAAGGAAATAAAAACTGGTTAGAGTTTAGAGTTTTGTACTGAAAACATGTTATAAATTGGCAAAAGAGAGATAATTTTTGTTAGAGGATGAAGTGGAATAGGATCAATAAAATTATTCTTTTTTTTTTTTTTTTCTGTTATGATATTATGTGTACAGTACGAACGTCCCTCTTCATATACAGGTTTTTCATAGACAAAAATGTAGCAAAAGTTTGAAAGCTATTTTCTTTACACAAAGTCTTCAAATGAATAGTGAAATATGAATTTAACATGAACCGTCTAATTTTTTCAACACATTTTGTGTTTCCTGAATTTAAAATCTTCATGTGGACCATCCACACATTTACAACATCAATAATATGCTAGGTTGAACAAATTTGTAAACTATATGATGTGTCTCTAATAAGGAATAAATACGTTAATCAACACTTAATTAATAATCAAATCATCAACAATCAAATTATTTAGTTTACAAAATTTGATCTCCCTAGCATTACATTTACAACATTAATCTTAATTAAGAACTTAAAAAAAATGTTGTCTCAGCCAGATGGCCTAAACCTAATATGCTTAACTCCCGATTGATGATTTAGATAAAAAGAATCTACCGAGAACGGAGGGATGCAATTCGAGAATACTAATTTTTTATCAAGGGTAGAAGAATATTCGAACTTGAGGTCTCTTTATGTCGGAAGAGAGAAATACGAGATAACCAAGATAATTTCACGTTGGTGATTTGATGTTTAATTCATCCGTTAACAAATATTACCAGATTTATAAGTGAAGACAGGAAAACAACTTATTTCAGCAACTTATTTCTGCATAGTATATAGTACGTACATATACCAAGTTTGTTTAGCTCTTCAATCACCCAACGTAAACAAACCGATAACAACCGTACGCCGCTGCTACCAATCAAGTTGCTCTTCTGAAAATCTGCAGCCCAACAGAAACCATGCTCATGCGTCTCCGCTAACTAGAACAAACAATGGTTTCTCCCCCAGTCGTTCCCGACCCTGAAACAATCCATATAAGCACATCAGTAGTGCATTGAAGTACCAAAAAATGCAACGAAATCCAGATTCCATCTTCGGCACCAACTAATCAAGGGTGTTTTAATGTCATACCTTTAGTTCTGGTAATTCAATTACACAGGCACACTCAACGACATGCACCCCTACACGCTCTGCAACAAAAAAAGCAGACATGTGAGTTGTGCAAGCCATAAGCATTTAGACATGAAGTTTGTGGTTTGATAAACTACCAAGTAGCTTGATGGCAGCACCCAAGGTTCCCCCAGTTGCAATGAGGTCATCTATGATCAAGGCACGTTCACCCGCTTCTACAGCTCCCTCGTGCATCTCCATAATATCTGTTCCATACTCCAAAGAGTACTCTTCAGAAATAACCTTCCCTGCAGAACCATAAACATATGAGATTACATGCCATCTTGAGAATTATATTTATTGAAAGCACATCATACTTGATGGGTAATTAAATGTAAAATAAACTTCACATCCAGAACCACACTGTTCATGATTTCTTAAACAGTTGGTGGTTAGGAAAAGCCATTAGATACAATAACACTTCTTACCATGCAAAGGAGCAAACTTTCTGAAGGAAAAAAACATATATTTAACACAGCGCTCGTTATTTATTCATTGTGATATTTTTAAAGCAACAGTGAGTTTTGGCGTCTACTTATTTGTTACCAGATTCACTTTCACTCTTTTTACCATTTCCTAATCTAAAGTCAGAACAGCAAAATTAGTGTAACTAGACTGAAAATCATAATATGAATGTCTGCTTTTGATGTAATTTATGCGCGTTAAGAAGATTACTCTTGTATTATCGAGAGTGATGCAAAATCACTATTCAAGGGCATAAACACTGATTACTGGTACTCAGAATTTCTCAACATAACTGTGTATAGCACTATGTCTAACATATGGCTAAGAAACTAGCCTGTAATTGGATCAGTTAACATTTGCATTGTAAGGAAAGATGTATAGATGATCAATCCATCCTGTGAATTAAATAACAATCATGTTTTGAATTACATCACGAAGACTATCTATCGAGATGGGGTAAAAAGTAAATTAAACTAAGAGTTGGTTTAGTATTGTTGTGCTTTTTGAAAAAACTGATTATGCTAGTGTAGTGAAAATAAACAGCTGTAAAATAAGTTGTTAAGAGTTTGGTAAACTTTTTTTTTTTTTTTTTTTTTGTGAAAGTGCTTTAAATAAAAAAAATAGCAACTGAGTGTTTGGTAAACTTTTATATAAATTGTTTTGAATATATTAAAAGGAAAACTAATAAAAAGAGTTTGAAAATTTTGAGTTTTAATGATAAGGACAAAATAAAAGGTAAAGTGAATAGTAACATAATTGACTTTTTAGTGTAAAAATGTGGTTTTTCGTTAAAGTGAACAGTACCGTGGACATTTCGTTAAAACTCCCTATATTAAATGATTAAAAAGGATATAGTATTAATATGATATAATAATTGTTAAAGACAATAATGTAGAGGTAAAGATTATAATTTTGCAAAACATGTAAAGGTAGACTTACCATTTTCAAATTCATTAAATGAGCATTGATTACTATGCTTTGAAAAAAAAAAAAAAAACATTTTTTTAGAAGTAGGGTAGGCCCTACTTTTGTTTTTCTACTTTCATTGACAACAATTTTTTATAAAAACACATTTTTTGTTTTAACAAACACATTTAATGTTTCAAATTTTTTAATAAGCTGCTTCTTTTAAAAGCATCACAATCCCAAACCAATCCTAATTCTCCCAGGACGCCAGTCACTCACCAATGATTCCCTCGAATCCTGCTACAGTGAAACTTCTCAAAGCTCGAAAATTTATGCAGTTTAAGAGGAGGTAAAAAAAGGTGTGATACATTACCAGGCAACTTGTTTGGTTTCCTCATGGGCACAAATTTTGCCCCAATGGCCAAGGCAATAGGAGGGCCAAATATAAACCCTCTAGCTTCAACACCTGCATTATGTCATAATAAAACTTCAAACTATAAACATAAGAGATTTTTTAGTGTGATTAGAACACGGGATTGTACAATATGTGTCACTATACCAATAGTAGAATATGTGTATTAAAAAGTTAATAACTTAAAAAATACAATTTCTCACCACTTATATAAAAACATGTAGTGTACTATCTAAATTCCCGTCACAATGAAAAATTTCTCCATAAACATAACCCAACATTCAGTGTATACAATACAACGAAACAGTCACTAAATCAGTAAGAATGCGCAACTGAGCTTCCGTTAAAATTTTGTGAACAGACCAATTCAGGATAAACTGGCTAAAAGTGAGAGAGCATGTATTTAATTACCTGCAACAACAGAGATTTCTTTGTCTTTGTACCTCTCAACAAACAAATCAATGGTGTCCTTGAAAGCCTTGGTATCCAGGAGCAACGTGGTAATATCATAGAACAAAATCCCTGCCATAACAAGTGAAGCCAAGCACAACTCACACAATCGAACTCACAAAAACCTCCATTCGAGACCAGAAATCAAGCAAAACCCAAAATTAAACACTACCCAAATGACAAATTGGACCCAACAGCAAGTAAAAATCTCGAAAAACCGATTGAATCGAACCCAACAAAGAAAAAAAACATTTCTACTAACTTATCAGAAAGCAAAAACTAAGATAATGAAAATCAATGCAAAAGAAATTGAATACAAACAGCATATATTTATATATATATATAAAGTACCTGGCTTGGGGAAGTCGGGGATGACTCTGATAGCAGATGAAATTCTAGCAAGGCGAGGATCCTGACCGTCTTCCGCTGCCATTGATTGCTTCAACTTTCAGCGCTTCACTCTTACGCATTTCGGTCATTCCCAAATTTGGCGCTTGTCTTATAGGCGTTTTGGCACCAAGAAAAATGTTAGCGAGACTCTCAAAAAAGTGAACTCTCAATAGATTCTCTGCTACTTAATATTTTTAGTACAATATATTGTAATGTTGACACATAAAATGACATTAAAGTATAAAGTGATAAAGAGTTCATAAAGAGTCATACTTTAAGAAAGTTTTCTTAGCATTTCTCTCATTATTGGGATGGTTTCCTTTAAGTTAACTGTGTATTCTCACAAGAGAAAGTTAAAAAGTCACAATGATCGTTTAGAAATTAGGATACAACAGTTGTAAGATACAGCATTTATTTCATTGTATGTGAGGAAGATTTTTTGTGACGGTAACGCTATAATGTGGTGCTATTAATAAAATGTTATAATATAAATATATAATTAGGATTCGTTTGGAAAGTGTTTTTAAAATGATTGAAAACACTTTTAATGAAAATGTTATTAGAGCCAATCCTTAATATAACGCAAATGAATCTTGAAAAAACACTTCAAATGCATAGTGGCTTCTTTCAAGAAGCACTTCAAGGAATTTTTTTCTAAAAACGTTTTTGGTTATTTTAAAAGAACTTCCAAATAAGTAGTTAGACTATACAGGTTGATATGATAATTTAGAAACATATGAAACAATATCTATAAATAAATCCACTTATTAAAATATATGTAAATTCATATTAGCATCTCATATGCAAAATTTCTCGAGAGAGAAATAAATGAACAAAATAATTGAGTTTGAAATTAAAAATAAAAGCGCTATTGTTTTAGTATGTTGGTTAAAATTTAAAGGGAATTTTTATTTACACTAATCTAACATTTTTTTACACCTAACTTAAATTTAAATGTTAATTATCTATTTTACCTTATTGTATAATTACTATTAAGTACAAAATGAAATTAATAATAAAAATCAAATTTATCAATAGACCCACATACTATAATTAAACCCTAGCATCATCCTTTGTTTACCTTACGTTCATTCCGACTAAAACCCTAATAGCTCTAATAGAGAAAAACAAGTTTTTCTATTGATGGATGGTGATTTTGAAGTTTTTAATCGTCCAACTAAGGTATGACTCGATTTATGGATATTTTGTTTGTTTGCTTCTTCTTCGGATTAAATTTCATACTTTTTATATTATATTGTATTTGTTTTTCTTTGCCGTCTGTATGCACCCCAAAATACAAATGCAAAGACTTTTGATTAGTAATGCAAAGACATAAAACTTGATTCTTGGTACAAATAAAGATTGCTCAACCTTAACCACGAACTAGCAGGTGGCATGTCTTGCACCTTTTTTATTCGAAATAGCTCCAATTTGTTTATTTGTTTATTAACATAGCAGCAAAACACTCAACCCTATGTTACTTCAAAGTTTCTTAAAAGGTACATGAAAATGCTCAATTTAAAAAGGATTGAACTGGAGCTTGCATAACATTCTCTTGGTAAATTCAAGTCTATGGAATGATCTCTTGGATCCCAAGTCCATGGATGGGTTGTGCTAGCAGAAAGTAAAAAGCAGCCATGGAAATGCTAGTCATATACAGGCATATGCAATTATAGAGGGGCAAATGACGCCTCTTTGAAAAGAAAAAAAATCAATTAGAGATGTTATTTTATAAAGGGAATGGGTGTGAAGATAATTTTACATTTTGAATTGGGTTTAAGAGGGTAATTTAAATAATAAATTTGGGTTTAAAGATATATTAATTCTTTAATAAAACAAATATATGAGTGAAAAGAGTAAGTTAAATGTAGAAAGAAGTTAGATGTATTCAAATAAAATTTCCTAAATTTAAATATTAAAAGGCTGCCGTAAGTAGAACCGATAATTGATTTTTGTCCACTTACTAATAAAAATAAACGGAATTGTGCAGAAAGTACACAAAATTGCAATTATGATTTCCACTATTAGAAATGCCACTTGTGTGTGCTAACACTCTGGGAGATGTGAAAGACATACCATCTTTACGTCTCACTTTCGATAGGAAGTAGCAAAATTGATCGCATCTATATGCAAGTTGCCGATGGATAATGGTCTTCATAATTTAACAATTGAGTGTGATTCTCTTCGGATCGTGAAAGTTTTGAACCAGAGTTTTCCTAACATGTACGGTGGGGGCATATTGTGAAAGATTCAAAGGCTTTGCTTCTCAGGATCATTGGAGCTTTGATTGCCCATATGTGTTGCAAAGCTAATGGTTTTGCACATTGTCTAGGACGCTATGCTCCTCACAACAACTCTACCTTCTTTTCCTGGATCGAGGAACCGTCCGATTTCATTTCGAATTTATTATTGATGTGAGATATAGGTGCAATGGATTTCGATCAACGAATTAGGACTGAATTGTAATTTCATTATAGTCAACCCACAAGTACAACTCAATAGGCCCACCATGCCCAACTTAAAGGCCCACTTATGCAAATGCAAGGTAAGGATGAAAAGGGTTCAGTGTATGTCGCCAATGTAAGTGTATTAAAACACGTCAACATATGTCAAAGCAACCCTCTTTCTTAACTTTTTCCACATACAAACCCACTATCACATGCTATCACATGCTTCCAAACACACCACTATAACCATCATGAAGTAGTTTAGCAGTTGGAAATGATTTCAGGCTCGTCTTTCACATGACATATTTTGGATTTGATTTCTATCGCTAATAAATTAAATAACATTGGCTAGAGAGAGATTGAAATGTCTCTAAGTCTTTCCAACCTCTATAAAAGTGGATTGTCGTAGAAAAGTCAGCATCTAGTCTTCTATTTTATAGAAGAAATTAAAAAACACCACCACTTTTCTCATCACATTTTCTATTTCCTTCTACTGATCACTAGTAGTTTACACTAGTAAGAATTTTTTAAACTCCCCAATTTGTTGTAGGATGCCTTATGTCGATCTGAAGTAAATTACAATAACGATATATTTGTTATAACTTTGATATTTAATAGGCTTTTTAGCTAAAATGATCCTTGAGATTGTCCAACCTTCATTATTTTGGTCATTCCATTAAAAACTCTGTTTAGTGTCCCGGAGCTTTGGCTGGAAGTTTGGGTAATTTTTAAAGCTTCATAACTTAATAGTTTATTAACCCAATTAGACTCATAATATATCAAAATGAAGATAGGAAGGTGTAGAACAAGTTTAGGCAATTTTTAACGCTTCATATCTCAATGATCATTTCTATTGATTTTCAATATTAAAGATCAAAATGATTTGTTATTCAAATCTCATGAACCATTTTAACTAAAAAACTTATTTAATAATATCATAACTTATTGTGACACTATGAGCGCATCGTAGACCTTTTTGAAAATTTAATCTGTTTACAAAAAAGACTTTTAAGCTTTTGACATGAATATGTGTGCCGCCTGCTATGCCAAACAACATCGTAGGTAAGCAGTGACTTCACCTTGCGAGTTCTACCTATTCACTAGTCTTAACACTTATCTTTGCAGCCTAGCTGGCTGGCTCGAACGTAGGATTTGACATACAGAATCACTATTTGTACTATTGCGGCTGCTAAAACTTGTACATTGAAGTGGAAGTGGCTTAGGGAAAAGGATCTGTCTTGATCTCACTCGTTCATTGTATATCGTACGGTCAGAAATTATTTAAAATTTAAAATTTAAAATTAAATATGAATAACACTTAAATAAAACTGAGATCATGAGATCCCTAAGATCCTTAGGAAAAGGATCTGTACCGTGCGGTCAGAAATTATTTCAAATTTTAAATTTTAAATTTTAATATGAATAGTACCTAACGAAAACTGACCGCACGATGTACGATGAACGGATGAGATCATGAGATCCCTAGGATCCTTAGGAAAAGGATCCGGCGAGGATCCTTAGGAAAAGGATCCGGCGAGGATCCTTTTTCGTGGTTTAGGATCCTTTTGCGTGTGTGTTATCCACACACCTTTTTTTATCTTCTTTAATTCATCGTATCGGACGATCGAACATTAAAAAAATGTGTAAAAAATAAAAAAAAATATGTGAATATTACACCTCCTTCGGATATTGTGGCTGCTAAATTCCCGATACATGATTTGGATAAAAGGCATTACTGACAATGAAAGGATGCAATTCGAAAATATTATTTTTATGTCAAAGATTCAAACTTAAAGTCTTTTTTAACATTGAAAAGAAAAATACAAGACAACTGAGATAGTTTCACTTTGGTGACTTATTGCGTATAGTCCAATTTTATTTGATTATTAAATTAAGTCCAATGGCTCATTGTCCACATCAATTTATTGTTAAATTTTTATCAAAACTACCCCTTAATGATTAGTAAAATAATTAATACTATTCCTTAATTTTAAGCTTACTTTTTTTCTTCCCACATTTTAAACTTACTGTATTGTGAATTAATAATAATTGATTATTTATCTTTAAAATAATTCCCTACTTGTAGAATTAGTTTTAAAGCATATATCTTCTTCTATAACTCGGTATACAATTTGTGCCGTGTTCTCCTCCCCTTCTTCAATCTCCTTCTTTCTTCTTTCAGTTCTTATGATATCTTCGTCCTTTTTGAAATACAAGATCACAATTCTTTTATTATTCTACTTGTATTATAGATTATTTTATTTTATCTAACTATATATCACAATTTTTCTATCTCGAAAATAATTGTGTTATCTATAACAGCCCGTCCCTAAAAATGATGATTTTATAATTTTAATATGTGATTTTACGAAAATACCCTTTGAGGCTAGGGTGTTTGACTTCCGTTGACCGTTCAAAGTCACAATTAATGTTTCCGATTAGATTTTGAAGCTACGGACGCATAGGCAAAATCCGTTTGCGAGTCCAGATTATAACGGTATAACTACGAACATTAGAAATTGTTTCACTAAACTTTAGATTTAAAGGAAAATTAAATCCCACCATGTGGGAAGTGTAGCCAATTAGAAAATTAGGGAGGAAGGAGTGGACCAATCAGACAAAAAGGGGAAATGATCAATTAGGAGAAA